AAAAAAAAAAAAAAAAAAAAAAAAAAAAAAAAAAAAACAAAAAAAAAAGAAATCAAACACGACGTATATCTCGCAGCGTGGAAGACGGAATATCGCGTGTCGTTTTACCCCGAGCATTTCAACATTTTATGGACGCGGTCAACGAAGAGTGAGAAAGGGGGTGAGAAAAGAAGTTGGCCTGACGTACGAGGTCGTGGTTGCCGTGCAACAACGTTCACTCTTCTCTTCCTCTGCTGCTCACTTTGTCATCGTTTTTTCTTCTTCTTCTTCTTCTTCTTCTTCTTCTTCTTCTTCTTCTTCTTCTCCTACTCCTCCTTCTCCTCCTTCTCCTCCTTCTCCTTCTTCTTTTTGCTCTCTTATTTCTGTGGCCTGTGTCGTACCTCGGTCTTGGGCGATTCGACCTCCATGAACCGGTTTCAATCCGTGGCTACCGGCATCAATGAAAAACTCGACTTATGATAACAGTATGGGCCTGGCTGCCAAATCGAGACTTTTGCAAACCGAGCCGATCCCTTCTGATTGAAACACCGGGCCGTCCACGTTTCGAGACTATCGTGATTATTCATTGCCACTGTGACTTAATTAGCGATTCACGTCGTCGCGTCATCAGCGTCTAGTCTCCTTTTCCTTCCTCTTCTTCTTCTTCTTCTTCTTCTTCTTCTTCTTATTCTTTTTCCTTCAGCGTTCAAAATGCATTTTTCATCGCAGAATCAATAATGACGGCCTAGTCGCTGGTTGCGTCGATCTTTTTTCCGTTGTCATTCGAACGAAGAGATGATTTGTCGTTCGACGGTTGCACTCCGTCGCTCTCCGTTTTTTTCCCCGGATCGCTTCATTAGACAGCTGCACCTGCGCCACTCTCTCGTTGACTCGTTTGCTCGTTTGCCCGCTCCTCGTCTCTTTCGTGATTTCGACTGTCTCGTTATCGGTCCGTGTCCGTTTCTTCGTTTTCAAGTGGCTCGTCGTCAGAGAGCACACGATCATCGTCGGAAGAAGCGAGATTTCGATTCAATTTCAGC